ATACGAATGTTTTACGAATGTGAATGTGTACATAGACAGAGAGTCCACTCTAATATTGTGGAAATGGCTCTAATAGTTCATTTCCACCAAGTCTTAACTGCAGTTTATCCTATTGGAACAAGGAGATTACAACTCAAAGGGCGTAATTCCTCCTACTAAGTACAAGCAAACGAAAGGAGAAAAGCAAACACTAAGAAATAAACCTTGCTGAAATTCTTGGAACTTATCTGAGCTCTTAACTGCAGTTAAGCCTCTGGTGGAAATAGGCTATAAGTCTGTCTAATCAGGGTGCGGACAATAACAGGCTTTTAGATTCAGGCGCTAAACGGTTAAGTAGTATATAAAGCAACATTGATGGGCCTTCAACAAGTACTGCTAAAAATCTTATAAGAAACCTAGAAATTATTTTAGATTCCTCCAGCGAAAGCAAAGGCTCGGATGTAGAATCTGGAGATATTAAAAACTGTGAAATTAAAGCTCAATTGAAGGCCTATCTTAAAGCAAAACGAGCTCATCTCGGTGAAAATTCTCTCGATTGGTGGAAAACTAAACTAAAATACGACAAATTGACAGATGTGGCCCGTAAATATTTGAGCGGACCACCCGTCAGCGTTCCAAGTGAGCAATTGTTCATTGCAGCCGGCCTTATATACGAGCCTCTAAGAAATCGCCTCATGGGAGAAAAGGCAGCAAAATTACTTGTTTTGAAATGTTATGTCCCCCTTTTGAACTTCGACTACTAGATTAAAACACTCGTTCAATGTTCTAATAATTTACAAAATTTTTAATTATTAAAAACGAGACTTAAGTTGATTATAGTTTTTTTAATGTTATTCCTAACGTTCGCATTACGAAAATTCGCATTCGCCTTCGTGAGTGTGAAAAATATGACATTCGAAACATCCCTATTATGTACATATACATATTCAAAGCTAAAAATTGCGTCGGATTGGTGATTATTTGAAAAAGAGCTCAACATGACATTTGTGCACACATACATGCATTAATTTAAGTTCAGCAGCGTTTATTTTCAAAACAAAAATAGTGAAACTCTTAGATAGAGCTAAAATAAATATCTATGAATATATTATGATCAGACAATGACAAATCACATTTCAATATTAATTAGAATTATATCTTCGAAGCGGTACTGAAAACACAATTTTTATTTAAAGTGTGCATATGTATGTATATACATGCATGCGTATACACATGGGTATGTTTAACCATAGATATTCAATGTGTGCAGCTTTCAACAGAACACCCACTCCAAAATTATGAGTCCAATCAACAATTAATGTTTCAAATACAATGTTTATTCTTAAGTCATAAATATATTAAGGGTATTCATCAAACCTTATAAATGCATTGTAAACCATATAAACTTATAATTGTGTAAACCTTATAAATGAACTGTCAAAATTTGTATGGAAACTCGTTTACACATTTCTGATAAATTTATCCAGCGATTTCACTGAATAAACTTGATAAACTGAAGACAATGCAACTCTGTCGCAACTCTAGCTATGTTTTCTTAGGCAATAATCGGGATCCGCATACAAATTTTGCACGCAAATTCAACAACGATATGATCCTGATAGAGATCTGGTTCAATTATTATCCCGTCTGTTTGTTTTGTTTCACTGATAATTCGCAAAGTTTGGTAGCCGTGACAAATGAATTCATACACAAACAGACATTCTGCCATTGTTTCTTATAACTTGCTTCAAATAAATAGCCTTTATGTTATATGTACATTTATTTAAATAGATATCTCGTAAATATAATTTTTTCCAATTTAGTGAGGTAGTTTCTATAATTTCTTTATCCCCGTGCTAGTAGTATAAAGTTAGTGACACTGCGCTTTATAACCAAAGAAAACACGGCTATTGTCGCATGTGTAAACGAAAAGAGAGTGTGGGTCGTTCATGTAACAGAGTGCATAAACTTATAAGATTATCTGCTTGATAAAGTTATCGGTTTAGATGAATACCACTATTTTTTTTAAATGATTTCAGCCAAAGACATTGTTTTTCTTTACTCGTTTAGCATGCCGCATAGAAAATTGTTATCTACAGTACAATTTTTACATTTGCAAACACAGCGGCAATGCAATAGAAAAACATTATTTTCAGGGTAAATGTAATGGTATTGGTGAAGTTTAATGGTAGTAGTTAAGATAATAATAATGGTAACGGTTTTGGAAAGGGAAAGTTTAATGGTAACGGGACTGGTAATACATAGTAACCACCAAGCAACTGTAGATTCTGCTTATTTAACTATTTTGTTGACCCTACAACATTAAATATACAGTGACTCAAACAAATGGCCACGTGTTGATTTTTTTATATATGCGTAATGTTTCTCGAGCAAAATTTTTTTTTTTTTTTTTTTTTATAAAAATACCCTCCAAGCTTTAGAGAAAAATTCAACACATTCTAATCACAATTTAAATCTTTTAATATAAATCTTTAGAACATCTTTCATAGCCCATACAATTTTTGTTTTATGAAGTGCAAGTTTCAATCGGCTAAAAAATCGCCTTGGTAAAGGTTTCCCGCATTTTATTTCATAAGAAATTCATGCTGTATGGAAAAAACGCAAAAATCCGTTACAAAAAGAAAATTCTCAAAAATAAAGGGATTTTTTTGACCGTTTGAAACTTGCACTTTCTTAATTAAAATTGTATGGGCTATACAGCAGCATACCCAAAAATGTTTTAAAAATTCAGATTTATAAGCTCAAATTTTGATGAAAATTTGTTAAATTTTTTTTAAAAGTTAGTAACTGTGTTTTGTATGGTTTTTTTAAAGACAATATTTTTTTAGACACTATTTTTATAAAAAAATTCCAAAAAAATATAACTCGAAAACATTATGAATATTTTAAAAAGATCAGCACGTGGTCACTTGTTTGAGTCACTGTATATATTTATGTACATGTGTATGCATGTCTACCACTTTCAGAACATCATAAAAAAATAAATATATATACTTTCGGAACTGTTTTTGTCGGGTATACATAATGAACTTACTTTTCGCACAGCGTCTTCAAAAATGGCACTAGGTACAGATTCAGGGCTATTGATAAAATAAAAACAGGTATAACTGTTGTTTTCTAATTAGAGAATATAATCATGGAGAAAAAAAATATTTGCATTAATTTGTGCAAAAGAACGTAAGAATTGATTTGTGAAAAAAAAAATCGTCCAAATTTTTTTTAATTGTTTGTGTCTTATTTGAAAACGTTCAGAAAATGAATTACTTTAAAAACAATTTTATAAGTACCTTTTAACTAACTGCGAGTAGTTAAAATTCTTTGTTCATAGTGGAACTACTGTTTCAACTGGCTAAATTTCATACTGTCTGCTTTATTCCGAAGGGGCAGATGTTCATCTTCTGCGTCTGCGTCAAAATTCATTCAGTCTACAAATAATTTCTTTCACTTTTCTATAGTTTTGGCATTTGCTTATTAAACATTATACCGTCGGCTTGTCAACACATGTACCGCCTACGCTAATGCCACTGTGGCCCCAAAAACGAATTAATGCAATTAGCAAAATTTTTATTGCAATAAAGTGATAATTTTTTTATGATTTTCTATGTGTACCCATTAAAGCAAGACTATTTTAAACACTTTGTTGCTTAAGATATACATATTAATATACATACATATATGTATGTATACACAACATCCACAGTAATGCTACAATTTTATTTTCGCATATCGAACACGTACCATGCAAAAGCTGAAAAAAATTTAAGCCGCGGCACATATTGACAAGTTTTCCATTTTTTTTTTTTTGCTTTTAACTATAGTTATTTTTTTATAAATATATAGTTCATTCTTCACCAAAAACCGTGTAAATACAAGTTTAAAGTTTTGTGCAATAAAAAAAAACAGGTAGTCCGATTTTGAAAATTTTCGGCCATTTGGTATGCTGTAGCAAGGCTAATAACTGTGCCTAGTTTGGAAGAAATTGGTGCAGGGGTTACCAAGATATACACATGTAACCATAAGTGGGCGTGGCTACGCCCATTTTCCAAAAGTTTATAATATTCTTTTTTTTTCGTGTAAACGTCATTGTAAATATCAGTTTTGAGTGAATAATCATCAGTAGTTACTAAAATATCGCAGTTTTCGAATTTCTGAAAATTACCGTTATATGGGAGGTAGGCGTGGTTATTGTCCGATTTCGCCCATTTTCAATACCATCCGCGCTACGCCCGAAAGAAGTGCACCTATCAAGCTTCGTTAAGATATCTCAATTTTTAGTCGAGTATCGTGTGCAGAGACGGACGGACGGACGGACGGACAGACAGTCACCTCTTAATCGATTTCCATTTTCATTCTGATCAATAATGTATAATATTAATAATAATAGATTGGCGCTTACACATATGTAGTGTTTGGCCGAGCTTCTCCTCCTCATTTATGTATACATTTGTCTATATCTATCTATCTCGATTCGTTTTGCCTGTTACAAACAACCGTTATGTGAACAAAGTTATAATACCCTTGTTGCTCGGTTATTTTATATGTTTCCCTCCAGGAGACTTCCAATAATAATACCCAATTTTTTATTTGAACATTTTTTTAATACTACCTAATTTTTATAGGTCTCCTAAACCAAAAACAATGCAATAAAAAATCACTGGTATCAAAAACTGATAAAATTTGTTTCCCCTTTATGCGAAAATTTTTTAAAATCGAATGACGGAAAGATAAAGTGGTCAAAATTGCCTATAATTCAGTGGGGAATTTAATGTGTTTTTGTGGCACTTAATGTAGTGGCAGCATTATTAGTCGTTATGCCGTACTCAATAGGTCATAACTAGAGCTCGGATTTTTATGCTAAAAATTGATTGAGCAAGCAATGGCAAAAGTATTACTAAAAATACCCAAATTCTCTCGAAGTAAGCCTTCAGCAGTTTGTTTTTTGTTGATATACATGTGTATACGTTTTACTGCTGGATAATTTAACTTAGTTATATACTTACTTTACTATCTCGTGGCACGTATGGCTTTCCATTGTGCATCCAGAATATATCCGGCCGTGGTATACCACCGATAAGCGCTTCAAGTTTAACTTTTTGACCAACACGAGCCATTGCATTGGTAAGCGGTATTTTGAAATGAGGCACTTCTGTCGGCTCCAGAGCTGAAATGGTGAAGAGAAAATATAATTGTGGTTTAGGTCGCAAAATTACGAAATTTCAATCTGTTGCAAGTTGATTGCTAAATCGATTACTCAATAACAAAATATTAAACTTTTTTCACAAACTTGGTCAGCTAAGTTCGAAAATTTACTAATTTTTTTTCAGAAACAAAAGTGGAGACTTCTATCTGAATAAGCAAATATAATTTTTTTCAAATGATGAAATATGACTTTTCAAAAATCTTGACACTAGAGCCACCTAACAAGTCCAGGCAATCTTAAAAGTTATCGCGGTTAACAACTTGCTGAAGCAACATTCAAAAAGAGGATACATTTTTTCTAGTGGCGGTTACACCCCGACAGGCAATGGAAAATCTTGAGGAGTATTTCCTTCAGAAAGAAAGTCAGGAAACTGTAAACATATATATCGAGTGCATGACTTCACCGAAACGTTCATAGTACCATACCCTGAGAAAAAATTGTGTCGATCGCAGAAAATGTTTGTCCGATTTTATATCGGAACTATTGTCGAATTATGTATGCACATGAAAAACTATACTTACGTTCTACAATCAAGCTGGCTGAACAATGCTCAATGCCGGCAGGATTCGAAGCGCTGCACGTATAGACAGCATCATCTTCGAGGAAAACCTCCTCGAAACGCAATGTTGCCTCCCCATTATTGTAATTGATAACGTAATCGGGTGAATCATCAATACATTTGTCGTTTTTATACCACTGCACGGTGGGTAATGGATTGCCGCTAACAACGCACAAAAATTCGAATGTGCTACCCTCGGTTGCCCTTCCACTTTCCAGATAACGCACAATTCTGGGCGGCACCATTTGCATTTCAATGGCATTTTCACGCACCGATAAATTAGCGCTAGTCTCATTGCTGCCCACCAAATTTGAAGCGCGACAACTGAAACGCGCCGAGTCGGCAGTGAAAGTCTCTTCGATCACCAATCGACAAACACCACGATCGTAGGTGGTTTTATAATCGGGATTATTTTGTATGGATATGCCATCTTTGAACCACTCGACAGCCGGTTCGGGATTTCCTGTGACCTCACATTCGAATGTGAACTTGTCACCCTCACGCGTGATCGCATCTTTGAGTAGCCGATTGAAGCGTGGTGACACATATTTGATTTCCGTGAAGATTTCGTTCACTTGTATATCTTTGCGTATATTCTCGGTAACGATGCGTTGATGATCGATTTGATCGCGCACACTTTGCAAGCGTACAGCTTCCTCTCGTTTCGTTTGTTCACGTAGCGCTTGTAGGCGAGCCTCCTCTTCACGTGTGACCTGCTCCCGTAGCGCCAACAAGCGACTCTCTTCTTCGCGTTTTGCATGTTCGCGCAGCGCTTGCAAGCGTGCTTCCTCTTCGCGTGCTGTTTGTTCACGTAGCGCCTGCAGTCGTGCTTCTTCGTCTCTCGCGGCCTGTTCACGTATTGCTGTTAGCCGCGCCTCCTCTTCACGCTTAGTTTGTTCGCGCAACAGTTGCAGACGAGTCTCCTCAATACGCAATGTCTCTAGTCGTGTCTCTTCCTCACGACGAGCCTGTTCTCGCAATGCTTGCAGACGCGCTTCTTCGTCGCGTTGTGCTTGCTCACGCAGTGCCTGTAAGCGCGCTTCTTCCTCACGTGCAGCCCTTTCACGTGCTGCTTGCTCGCGCGCTGCCTGCTCGCGGATTGCTTGTAGACGCGCTTCTTCTTCGCGTAACGCCTGCTCACGCGCAGCTAACTCCCGTGCGATACGCTCCCGTTCTTCCGCCTCACGGGCAGCACGTTCCTTGGCTTCTGCTTCGCGAACAGCGCGTTCACGCTCCGCCTGCTCACGTGCCTCCCTATCACGTTGTTCACGTAAGCGTTCCTCATTCTTCAGTCGCTCCTGCACGACATTTATGTCGGACTTAAGTTTCAGAAAAGCTTGAAAGATGCTGCGTACATCATTGTAGAGCGTAGAAACTTTGTTCAAATCGTGCGCGCACTGAGCGGCATTTTCAAGTTTTTCAAGCAGTGGACCCTCACGCGCGGCCACATACTTTTCAATATCGTTGACTAGATTCGAGGCTTCGACAGGATCGCGTAGGTAGGTGATCTTGTTGGATACGCTGTTGTAAAAGTAGTTGATCTCGCGGTATTCGGCGTCGATCTGTAGAGGTGAAGAGCGTGAGAGATGAGATGAGTTTAATTGACTATTTATTGAAGGAATGTGACTATTTATGCGTACTAGTACTTACTTTTTCTACCATTTCGAAAAATTCGGTCGCCTGGTCCAGGGATTTGCGTTTGTTTTTCACCTGCTCCTTGAAATTGTGCCATTTCTCGTTGAGTTTTTGTAGTTCCGCTCGCACATATGACTCGCTTTCTGGATTAGAAATCAACAGCTGTTGTGTTGTGTTGTCGGTAAACTTATCTATGCGCTTCTCTAGCAGCTGAAAAATTATTGATGCATTTAAAATAGGTGTATGGAAATTTTGGGTTACAGATCGTATAAAGTTTTAATCGAAAAATAAGCGCAAGTAAGGTGTGGTTTATAAATATCAGCGAGTGGGCGGTAGATGACCAGTGAGTAAAGTGACTGTTGAGGAATATGCACAGTATACAAGTATTTTAATGTAAACTAAGAAAAAACTATTTAACGACTCCTCCAGCGGGTTGTTTATGCGCAGTATCCACAGCAGCAGTGAGCGGACCCAATCTGATACCAAGTACCGGTATATCTGGAAGATAATGAACGAAACCATATCTTGGACGGGAAACATAAGATATTTGATAGCCTTAACGCAAACAGAAAGCAGATTTGCGACGCTTGTGTCTGGTAGGAATGCAGCTATTGTGGCTGGGCTCGCAAAAGTACAGCATACAGTTAAAATTGGAGACATTTCAATTGCAAGTAAGCAACATAATTGAGATAAAAATAGAAAATGTAATCAGGGAAATTAACGCATAGTAGTGGTAGATATGCACGGACTTGATGACAAAGTGTCAATATTATTTAGACAGGTTGAGTGTGTTTTAGCGGAAAATATCTTGATTTCTTACCGTTCAGAAAAATAGCTAGAAATGGCAGAAATAATGAAAAAGAAGCATTTTACATGGACCGAAATTCTTCAGAACTATGCACTGGAAGTCTTGAGTGTTATGGAGTGTAATGAGGTATAGTGGTACTTCTGAATATGCAGTTAAGTAGCACGTCCACGCTCAATCCCAACCCATGCGTCCCGGTGCCTGCACTCTGGGCAACGTGAGCAACCCATATGCGAGATGCGTTACCCGATTCCAGAGGAACTTTTTATCATGGCGGGGATGCCTTCGATGAGGCTACTCTGACATATTCGGTTTAAGGGCTCATTGAAGTCAGCAGCGGCCTGCTCACCAGCAGATTCAGCTGAAAGCTGGCGTCTGCTTGGAGCAAGAGGCTGGCTTTCTAGGCGTTTATTTATTTAAAAACCATCCCAGCAAAGGGTAGTGCGATAGGCTTGGCACTCGCCACATTAAAAAGTTTTAACCAATACAAATACCAAAAATTACTTGTATAACTACCCCAAACGTTGCCGAACCTCCATTTACGGATATGTTCCGGCAATGTACAGAGGATCTATAGGGAAGGTTCCTCTATCCAATTTCTGGATGTACTCGCAAAGAGCAATGTTGACATCACCGATATTCAACAAATGACATTATTTATTAGCTAATTTGGTGAGGAATGTGTGGCCTCAAAGATAAATTCAAAAACATAAGCCTAATTTGTGCGCACGTCCCGAAGGAGAAGAAGAACGACTAGACTAAAGGGCAATTCCACGAGCGCTTACAGCAAGCATATGAGCGCTGCATCCGCCAGGACATTAAAATAGTGCTTAAAGACTTTAACGCTAAGTGAAGTAAAGAAGGCCTATTAGGTCCAACAGTCTGAAAACTCAGCCTGATCGACTTCTCCTTGGAACGGAACATGTTAGTTAGACACCAGCATCGAAACAACCACAAAGACCCAAAAAACCACTTGAGTCTCCCCAGATTAAAGAACAAAGAACTAACTGAGCAAGTTGTGTTATACGAAGGATACGATTGAAGCGTGATTGATGTGCGTTCTATCCAAAGTCCGTATACGCTTCAGTGCAATGAAGAACCTGTTCCAGGAAGTGCGACGCTATTTCGACGTCGAGAAACCGTACTCCCAACGGACAGCCGAGAAGTATCGCTATCGACTCTGAATCCTGCCTAAAAACAGAAACTCTTTATCGACTGAATATAAATGAGCAGTGAAAATCCATTTACTGATCTGTTCTTGCCGTAACGAAAGAGGTGGTAGGCTACTGCCAACCGCGCACGAAACATCTGGTATGACAAAGACTGCCGTATGTATGCACAGCATAGCGTTGGGATCTCCGAAAAACTATGAAATACGGCTATGTGGAGCACTACCTTCAGCCCTGTTCATATCAGGAATGGCCTATTCACACTATTCGAGTCTAAACTTGGTCTTAGACAAGGCTATTAACTCTCATGTGACCTCTTCAATCTAATGCTGGTGAGCGTAATAAGAGCTGACAATCTGAATTGCAAAAATACGAAGCTGAAGGCGTCTGCGTAGCATTTTCCATCTCAGAAAAAGAAACGAAAGAAAGAGGTTGGCCTAGCAGTGAACGAAAACAAGACAAAGTACCTCCTGGCAAGACATAAAAAGTATTTGCGTATTGAAACACACGTCGCTGTTGGCAGCAATCACATCATGGAAGTAGTGTAAGACTTTGCCTACCTGGAATGCAGCATCAAAAGCACAAATAACGTCAGCCTGGAGATTAAGCGCTACTTTGGGCTCGGCAGGCAATTGAAATGCATAGCCCTCTCTAGACGAAAAAAATATGCTTTACAAATATCCTTATAAGGCAAAAATGCATGGACAATGTCAAAAAAAAAAAAACATGAGAAGCGTTTGGGGCTTTCAAGAGAACTATCCTTAGCAAGATATATGTCCCGGTTCGGGTGGGCGACGGGTACCGAACAAGATGGAATGACAAACTTTATAAGGCTTTAACTGCACAGACGTAGCTAAGCGCATACGCTTCCTTGGGAACGTCATACGCATGGATGACGACGCTCCAGTGAAAAAGTCCATCCAACCAACGCCCATGGACCGGCCTGAAATCGGAATGAACAATTGGTGCCAATTCGCAAGGTGAGAGGCAATTGTCGAAGAAGTGAAGTATTATAATCTATATCATACAAAAGTGTGAACACATCCCGAAATGCACCCGTTGGGAAAGAACTCTCTACCTAAACCTTATCTTCAGTGAGGTATTGCCATGGCAGGAGGCACAGAATCAGTTAAACTTGTACATGTAGAGCCTGTAAGTTACATATATGCAGACAGTCACATGCAAAAAAAAGCGGAAAAAACCACCCAGTGTAATATTTTTTAGTAGAATTTCGTTGTAAGTTTCTAGGCAAGACTTTTACTTTGCCATATTCAATTATGCCATTTGGCAACAAAATATATTAAAATTCTGGTTGGAATAACTAAACTCTTTTCTCCGTGTATGCGAAAATCAATTGAAGGAGTATATAAAACACTTCCACAGCTAAATACACTTAATAGCTTCCCATTGCATAGCTCCTAGTTGTTGGTTAATTCTAAACACTTTGGTTTTCAGGTATGAATGTATTTTTAAATTTTAAATACCCATTAATCACTCCAATATAATTTACGATTATGTTTCTCAAAAAGGGCAAGTAATTCAGTTTCTTTCAAAAACAAACAAAAAAACAAATTATTTGGCAAATAGTCTGTTGGTTCTTGCCGCTTTACATTCTCTCACACATCAATCAGTCCAAAACAATTAGAGGCATCGCTCGATGTTGCCTAATTAAAAATGGCCAACAGCTGCGTTGGCTACTCGTCTGTCACTCTGTGCGTCAACGGAGCATACAACACGCACAACGCAGAACTGCAATGTGCAGCAATGCAACAGATACTCGTCGTTGCAACTTGAGAAATTTGGAAGACGCGAAAAATTCACCACACAATGCACAAAAATAAAGTGTATATGTACGTTAATNGTCTGAAATCCCACGTGATCTGTCAAATACTAATGCATGAAAATCCTAACCTCAAAAAAATCACCCGTTATTTTATGTGTTCGCTTGTTTATACTTACACACACATACATATATTTTGTGTATTCGATTTGATTTGTTTTTTTTTTGGCTTGGGTCGAGAAGTAAATCAAAACATATCATGGCATGTTTTCGCAATACTTTTTCTTTAATAGTTTGTTTAGAAAACGTACGATTTCATACACATGGGGCAGATTTTCGCAGCATAAATAGCAACAGAAATATGAGTGTGCAATAGAGAAGAAGCGGTGGATTTTCAAATGACTGTACTGAAAGTTCATAATTCCTTAAATACATGAATATTTATTTCTAAAAGTAAACATATGCATGTACATACATACATACATATACTCGGCCCTAACCAGCAAATTTTCAATTCTGCAGGAAAAGGAATTAACAAAATCAGCCAAATTGGTTTAGGCGGTTGTAGCGTTAATCAAGAGGAGGAAGAGGCGATATTGAACGTTATAAGCCAAGGTAGCCAAGAATTGTTCGGACATGCGATACCTCGCTAGCCACCTTAACTAATTTTTCTGCTGGGTTCATGAATATGCAAGCAATGTCGAAGTGAACGAAACAACCGAACGAGATGCCTCCCCTTGGTTAAAAATTACAGATCAGCGAGCGGGATAGCTCCTTGCAACACCGATTTGTGACGCTATATTGCCGAGTATACCATAGCTGTAACAACTAACATATGGATCGATCGTAATGTCTGTGAAATGTTTAGGTCTTTATGGCTGAGACTAACCAAGACACGAACTCAGGAATTTTCAAAAGGGCACTTCAAATTTTTTCTATGCTGCTGTGCAGGACTTCAGTGAAAGCGAATCAAGCACTTGGGATCTTGCTTTTCCGCCAGCTTGACAGCTAAATAACGGAAGAGCAACTATCAAATTTCCTCAGTTCCATTTCGTAGAGTAACTGGTTTAACTGAAATCTTGGTATAATCCTGGTTGAAAGGATATGCCCCCTCCTGGCGCTCATGGAAGGCATTCGTAATGGACAAACATGCCTCCGAGTCGAAGTAGAAGAACTTCATTTACACGTTCCTAGCCTAAATAATATTATTCACCGGGGCGTATGAGTGACTTTTTTATACGGTACTAGACAACGGCGGAATATTACTTTATGAATGGAAATTAAACAGAACCGAAGGTGGCATATTTTTTATGTTCGAGCGAAATCGAATTGAATTGAAAATTTTTAGAATACTGAAAGTGGACCAAACTTTAAAGGCTCGGTTGTGCAAGGCGATGACCCAATGCAGGCTAGCTTTGCATGCCTTGCTTACTTTAATTTGCTTTGATTTACTTTG